ATCATTCCTCCTTCAATTATGTTAGGTTTATATGTTGTATTGATGATTCTGTGAACAAATTGACTAATTTGAACAGTTATAAAAGTTTAGGGACTAAATTGTAAAGTTCGTAGTTGGTAGATGAGGATTAGGGTTTGGGGTTATGAGTTTGGAACAAGAAGAATTTACGCCGGATTTTTGCTAGCTGCTCGCTGGAGTGTTGCTCGAGCGACTAAAACAGAAAGTTCCTTGCTCGATGTTCGCCCCCCTGTCGCTCGAGCGACATATTTATCTGGAAAACCTAATTTTCCTTTTCCGAGACTTTAAGTCGGTCCATACAACCTAATTCGTCCAACCTATATATTGAAGACGTGGTATTTTCTGTAGAGAAGATTGAACAACATATTATTCAAGAAGAATACATCCTACACAAGATCAAAATTCAATCATTCATTGTTCATGAGCCTTTTTCATTGAAAACATCAAAGCAATCAAATCAAACACTGAATTGGTTTCTTCGCTTGGATTTGCTGCAAGATTGTGTCATCAACTGTGCTGCATTAAAGATCAATGAAGAATTTGAAGAACGAGGAGTTCTTGGGGAAGATCTACAGGAGATAAACTGCGTAAAAAGTCAGGATTGGAGTTTGTGTGCTCATTCTAGGAGGACTGCTTTACAAAGAAGAGTCAGGATTGGTGTTGGTGTGCACATTCCAGGAGGGCTGCTTCATACTTCAGACAGGAGATCAGAAAGCTTGTGTTGTCAACTTTACTGGTAGTCTGTAAGTTTTATTGACAGTTTATAGTGGATTTTCGACTGGCAAAATGCCCGCAATTTTTCCCACGTTGGGTTTCTCCATGAACAAATCTGGTGTTGTTTACTGCTTTGGGATTACTGCGGTATTTCAAGATAGGTTAACTTGAATTGTTTGATTAATCACCTAGACATAATTAACTTGTGACTTATTGTTTGTTAATTAAATTTTAATTCCGCATTTACACCTAATAGCTCCCCCTCCCTTTAGGTGTAGTAGGGTCGAATCTTGCGTTTCTCAAATTAGATGCTTTTAATACGGCACATCCATCTTCCCATTGTTTGAAGACTTGGAGGTGATGTCAAAAGAATCTGAAATAGATTGCCTGAAACTGAATCAGCTTGCCAAGCATAATTGAACAGTGATTATGCGTATAATGGCCGAATGACGGGAAAGATGTTCATGTCATTATTTGAATATTCTGAAGAGATATTTAAACCTGAATGAAGTCCGATAGCGTTGAAGGGTTGATGATAATGGACAATGATTACATGTTTCTCACAAGCATTTCTGTTGGGAAAAATCTCCTGCTGTCATTAGAATTACGGAAGCAACCAGTGCTTTCCATCCAGCAACGGTTGGAGCCAAGTCTGGCCAGTGAGATTTTTCTGGTGGATGGCCTGTTTTTCTAGTGAAATGGCCTTCAAATATGTAAAGTTACTGTTAGATATTGAAGTGTTGTTGGAGCAGGTTAAAGCAGAAGAAATTGCCCCCCCCACCCACCCACCCAAAAAGGAAAAAGAAACAAGAATGCTGGATAGAAAACTAAAGAGCTTGAAACCATGGCCATGGAAGATTAGTATTTGATAAAATGATCATTCTTGGTAAATTAGATATAACACTGAGATTGGCAAGAGATCTGCGGGCAAAACAAATGCATGAGAAGTTCAATTGGAACTTTTCCAAAATCTGAATGATATAATCATTTGTAGTCTTGAAAGCCTTGTATTTGAAGAAAGAACATTCTGAAACTGCCGTATGGCTTGAGAAGGTTTGAGTACATATGTATATGCAACTGAATTGGAGGGCAATTGCTTGATAATGGCACTCTATTGTGAGAAGTTATGAATGGAAGTGAAATAAGTTGGGTGGGGTTGTTGACTGTGAAACCTAAAATGTTTCCTTGGTTTATTTCTTTTCAGGTTTAGAGTGTGTTTGGTAGGGATTTTTGGGGGAAGAATTGATTTTTGAATAGTGATATGATGAGAAATGTGTGGTTCAAAAAGGAAAAAAAAGTATTGATGTGATGGAAAATATTATTTTATTGAAGAATGTGTGGTTGAAAATGAGAATTGATTTACTGTAGAAAATGAGAATCTGTACCAAACAGGCTCTTAGTTAGGAATTAGGGTGTTAAGAAGTCTATTTTCTTAGTAGTTTCTATTTATGAGTACATTTTACTTTTCCTGTGATTTGTAATCCCTAGGGCCTGTTTGATACCCTTAATTTTCCCTAGAACTAGGAATTCTTTTTTCATTTTCTAGCTTTTGCCTTTTTTGATAGTAGAAATTTTTCATGGAAATTTTTTTCTCACTTTCTTTCACACGTGCACATTTTCCTTGATTTTGTTGAAATTGTTTTTCCACCTTTACGGTGGGTTTTCATTTTCCAATTTTTTTTTATTCTTGGTAATTGGGAAAAATTATATACTCAATGGTAAAAAAAATTATCACTTTTATTGACAATTTTCATNCATTTATATAGGATTTAAAATAGTAGGGAAGTAATAGAAAATCTATTAACTAAACTCTAATTATGTTTTTAACAATAATGGTGTGTTTGAGCCAAAAGAATGTATTTTGGAATAGTAGATTGATGGAGAATGTGTGGTTGAAAAAGAAGAAAAATTTATTGATGTGATGAAAAACGTTATTTTATCGAAGAATGTGTAATTGAAAATGAATAGAAGAATGAAAATGAAAATTTTAATGTGACTCAAACATGGGCTAAGTATTAAATATGGAAAGTAAATAACTAATAAAATACTAGAAAATATTTTAAATTAAAACCTAATACATTCTTTAAAATAAATATCTATTTTGAAAAGTAAATTAACCCCTTGTTTGTTGGGCATTATTCAACTCATTAATAGAATAATTGTGACCGTTACTAATCAAAGTGGGACCTACCCGTGAGAGCTTTGTCAGAAAAAAGGTCTGCTAGAAGGTACAATAACGGTCCAATTTTTTCTAGTTTTGGTGGAATAATGCACAACAAACAGGGGCTTAATAAGAAGAGTTGGTGCAAAAGGTGTACACTATCCGACGAATCGTCTAGAATTTGAAAAGTTTACTTGTGCATTCTAGTTGGACTTTACTTTCCTATGAACTTGTCAAAGCTCGTGAAAGCTTGTTTGTGTGTATAGTTTCCTTGAGCAATTCAGGCTGATTGGTTGTTAGATGCTATTACATCTGCTACAATTCTTCTACTTAATTGTGTAAATGAGACTAGTTATTTCGAGCAAGACACATAATTGAACAAGAAAGATGAAAACTTCTGTCATTGCACATTTCTTGTATCTAAACTTCTCAGGTGGTCCATAACAGCTCCGCTTTCTTTTCTTAAATGATTTTATATGCAAGAACCTTAATTTTGCACTTCCTCTGTAGGAATTAACATGGAATGCATTGCATTTCTAATCCTTGTTTTCTTGCATTTCGTTGTTACACATTGTGATGCAAGTGCAACTAAGGCTGCAAGGATGGCTCGATTTAATTCACTGGCTTTTTGTTGTTTCATTACTTATTTCTACGCTTTTAATGCATTTTTAATTAGTCTTTTAGCTAGGGATAATTAAGTCATTTTTTTGTTCTAGGATTTGATGGTTTAAAAGACTAGTAATGTGCTCATTCCATCTCAATATTTTGCGTGAATAAATGAGTTTAAAGTTTCATTCGTGGATCTCATACTCACCAACTGCATCATATTGATTAATAGGTTAAATTATTATTGGTTGTCGTGATCTTCAAAAAGGAAAAAAAAAATATTATAATGCAATTTGAAAGGAAGTTGGTGCAAAAGGTGTACGCTATTTGGCGAACCGTCTAGAATTTGAAAGGGAGTTTACATGTGCATTCTAGTTGGACTTTACTTTCCTATGAACTTGTCAAAGTTCATGAAAGCTTGTTTTATGTGTATAGTTTCATCGAGCAACTCAGGCTGACTGGTTGTTAGATGCTATTACATCCGCTACAAATCTTCTACTTAATTGTGCAAAGGAGACTAGTTATTTCATATCCCCAAAAGCAAGACACATGATTAAACAATAAAGATGAAAACTGCTGCACATTTTTTCTATCAAAATTTCTCAGGTGGTCCATAACAGCTTCGCTTTCTTTTCTTAAACGACTTTCTCGATATGCAAGAAAAAGCCCGTCTCTATAAAGCATGGATCATGTTACATGTATCGAATTTTTTTACCAAATTTTTTACTTGTTACTCACAATGGGGATGAAGATCACATTGTCGGAATTTTTAAATACACGCGGGTTCCGCGTATTATGTGAGAGGTGGTAATCCATTATACAAATCATTATGTACAAATGGATTAACCCATAAAGCATTACATTGGATGTTGTTTTTAGTATTTTACCAATGCAGCAAGGGAGGGACCTCAATTTCGCACTCTCGCTGTATGAATTAGCATGGAATGCATTGAACTTCTATTCCTTGTTTTCTTGCATTTCATTGTTACAAATTGTGATGCAACTAAGGCTACAAGGATGGCTATATTTAATTCGTCGGCTTTTTGTTGTTCTGTTACTTATTTGTATTGCTTTTAATGCATTTTTAATTAGTCTTTTAGCTAGGGATCATTAAGTCTTTTTTTTTTTTGTTCTTCTAAGATTTAAAGCTTGTTTGGGAGGGATTAAAATCAGATTAAAATTGAAAATATAGTCGTTATTGTTGACTTTTATTAGACGAGTACGACCCAATAACGGTCATATTTTCAATTTTAATTGGATTTTAATCCCTCCCGAACGGGGCCTTAATGGTTTAAAAGACTAGTAGGGTTTCACTATTTTTTTTTTATGATAACTGTGGATGTTTGGGCCAGCTTGCGCGCACCTCGACTAATTTCACAGGGCCCTGAAGTTTACGGTCGGATACTCATCTCAGTGGCCCTGAGGGGATTCGAACTGGTGACCATTGGGGAGCAAACCCAAGACCTGACCAATTGAACAACCCCTCAAAGTTAGTAGGGTTTCATTATTTGGAGGTGGTTCTTATTAATTAAATTAAATTGGCAAAGGTTTTATCAATTTGCTCAATCCATCTCAATATTTGCGTGAATAAATGGGATTAATGTGTATTTGTGGATCTCATACTTATCGACTGCATCATATTGATTAATAAGTTAAATTATTATTGGTCATCGTGATCTTCAGGGAAAAAAATATCATAATGCGATTTTGAAAATCTCACAATTGACACAAGTCCTCAATATGCGACAAAGCTTTTCTCATATTCAATGGAATGTTCACATTTGTTCTCATCATTCCCTATAATTTTCAATGTTTTAAAATCAATGTGGATATTGACTTGAAAAATGTAAAAAGATTATGGGTCAAATGGTCGAGTAAAGATTGGCCGTTGGTAAAAGATTTATATATAAAAATAATAATTTCTAAATGAACCGAAAGTTCTTGACTTGTCTTTTTTTATTTTTTGTAACGTATAACTGAGATATTCTCAATTTTTTTGATCGAACCAAGCGTTCAATCCAATCGCGAAAACATCGACAAATAGAGTTTCTCGATGAGGTTTATATAAAATGAGTTTCATTTGGTGTAGTGTAATTATTATACTATTGAACTCTACAAAATAAATAAATAGGCACTTCAATATTATAAAATCCATTTCATGGAAAATTAATAATTTTTTTTAAAGTAGTAATTAAAAGATTTTTAACTATACATAATAAAATAAAAGTCAGTTGAAGCCTAAAGGAAAATAGCAGAAGGAATTAGATAGAAGGATTAGAGATAAGCACTTGTTTGTCTCCCGTTATGGGAGAAAGAATGATGTTTTGAATAGTATTTTTTGAAGAATGTATGATTAAAATTGAAAGAAACTTTATTGGTTTATGTGTAGAATATTTTATTATTTGAATGTATGGTGGGAATTGATTACCGTAAAACACAATATTTTGAAAAATGGTAGACAAACAGGGGCATAGAAAGTATAATTTTATTAGAGAGAACCCGATTTTTGGTTGAGGAATCGAGGCAGGGCAAGGAACATGATCTCCCCCTTGACTGTTCTATTTTATTTATTTTTAATTTTAATTTTAAATTGTATTTAGAAATAAATAAATAAACGAGGAAGCAGACAAAAATTGGGAATATTTTATTCCACTGGGTACTTCAACATCAACTAGTTTATCGGTGTAGCATCTAAAGCAAATTTAATCACTACGATTAGCACCCTCATAAACCCGAGAAACTTAGAAAATGAAAGACAAATAACTTAAAATGCAACTGGATAATGCTTGTTGTACATATAGGAGTACATAATGTGATGTGACAATCATCTAGTAGTTGATGTGAAAATGTGAAATTTGAATTAAATGTTGAATATGTGCCACATGTAATTATGTGAACCATTATATGAAAATTTATGTACCCCTAGCAACGTCCAATGCAACTGAATCCTTATAGAATTCATAAAGTTCCGTAAACAAGTTGAGAAATACATGCATGTTCACCAAGTCATGACTTTCCAATGCTAGAAAAACTCATTCTACGAGTGACTCCAAATTTACACAGCTACGCATTTTAGTACAACACAAATACCCTCCTCCAAGTACCATATTTCAAGTACTATCATATCGGATGAAAATACCTCATAGTTTATAACTAATAATTACACGAACTACAAATTTGAAGCAACAAATGCCATCGAAGTCGAACATGTTATTTGTCATCCTCATTTACGGAATTTAGCCGTCTTAATCTCTGATCAAGCTCTGCCAGCACTGCTGGTTCCTGCTTCTTCCTTTCTTTTGATATTGTTGTAGTTGTCATAAACCCAATCTTATCGAAGGCAACCTACCACACATTTAACAAATCCCTCTGTCACAATTGATTACTTATATAATGCAACCAACATCCCAACTTTTCATTTGCCTCAAGGAACAAAAAAGCAAGAAAAAAACTAGATCAAGAGAATAGATGACTTATAGCCCTTGTATTAGAAATGGTTAGCAAAATCATGCTCATTGCTCCCATCTGTTAACGGTGTTCTAACGGTAAAAAGACTATTATGCCATCGGATACTCTTCAAAAGACTTTTCCTTTATCCATTTTCCATCATTCATCACCCTTCCCACCCCAGAAGAGTACGACTAGGACATGAATTTTTGAAGGAGTAAATAACAAGCAACAAGGAGCTATTGTATTTAGACTAAACTAGACTGAATATTGTATTTACATCTTAAGATCACCACCACTATCCACCTCTCTCATCTAGGGCTGGACATGGTCCGATTCGGTTCTGAAGAAAACCAAACCGAAATTTTCGGGTATTTAGTAAATGGAATCATCGGGTCCAAATTTAATTATGTAACCATTCGGGTTCGGTTTCATTCTGTTCGGTTCGATTTTATTCGGTTCCCGGTTCCGTACAATAATTAATTTTTTTATATTTACAATAACGCTACATTAATTCGACTATAACATGTTCAATCTTAACTCTTACAAAATAACGTAGTCCAATCTGGAGATATCTTTTCCACATATCTTTGTTGAGTTTGTCATAGATATGACTGTTAAAATTACAAGAAGAGGAAGATAGCGAGTTCACAATAATAAAACAGCACAAACGATACTACGGTAGAATAAGAGATTTGGGTAAAATTTAGGTCAAATTGAATAAGTTGGGTTTGGATGAAAATTGAAAATAGTAAAATCATATTTTAATTTTGAGCTAAATTAATTAGTTAGCAAATTCATTTAGAAAAAAATAAAACAATTTGACTTATTTAAGATAAAAAATTAGGAAGATTCGGTTCTTATTCGATTTTTCGATTCTAGATCTAGAATCGAGAACCAAACCAAACCCGTCGGTTCTTAATTTAGATACTCGTTCAAATATTTAATTTAAAAAGAACCGTTCGGTTTGGATCCGGTTCGGTCCAATTTGGTTCGGGAGTTTTGTCCAGCCCTACTCTCATCCATCCCCCCTCGGCTCTCCTATTCCGCTAGGGGACAATTACAAAAGATTATTGATTTAGTATTTAGACCACAGAGTGATTCCTTTGATGTGAGGAATATGAGCATGGAGATGGTTGATACCGTTAATAATTCATCAGGATCAAAAAGATGATGAGTGGTTCTCTGTATAATATTAATCACATCACCAATATGGTGGGCCATAAGCAACTCTTCTTCATTCATCTGCATTCATCAAAAAGTGTTCATTTTCCATTATTGAGCTGGAATCCAAACGAATAACATGAAAAGAAAAAATCTGTCACCTTGAAAATTGCTAATGCTACGTTAAACAGAGCCTTGGCCCCTTCATAGAAAAGAACATCCCATACCCGCAGGGTCGTCTTCAAATAATGGATAGAAAATTGTTAGTAATCAGCCCAATTGAATATGGTGGTGTTTGTGTATTTCATATATGAGAGAGCAAAGTGAATGTAGTCTAACCTCTGATGGCAAGCTTTTAGAGAATAGACATAAAAACCACTCCGTGCAAACAAGAGAAACATCAAACTCCATAGCTTCCAAATGAGCAGCTATCCTGCATCTTGCTAATATCTTCAACTTTAGAAGACCATGAAAAATTGAAAATATGAACCCGTACCAGCATCAAGCAAGAGAAAAGAGAGGACCTTGGACACTTTTTGGTCAGCAGATCTTTAAACACTCTTTGTTCAACATGGCATCCAGATAAGTTATTTGTATAACAATCATTAACTAGCACATCTTCTAAGAGAACAGCAAGCATCCAGAAAGCATCTTCTTCTGTTTTCATCACTAGCAATAACAATGCTGCAACATAATTTAAACCCTACACCATAATTCATTTAGGTAAGTTTAATCCAGCCAAAAATACTCAAAATTTGAAAAGACCTATTTGGCTATAGATACTATCGTATTATTACTAATGTGAAAAGAGAATCCACCTGACAATAACCAACATCAGAATCACGGAATGAATACCCAACAAGAACACGCCTAAGAGTAGCATGACCTTCGGGAGTGTCCAACCAGGGGTGACCCGGGAAAGTTCGCGGCAGGTCCTGCATTCATGCATTATTAGAATATGTGATTAAAAACATGAAGTAATGCAAAGATAAATAAATAAACAAATAATGCATCTAGGATCAAAAGATCAGTAAAATAGACCAACTTTCCCACTACTTCAGTTGTTATTTGTCAATCTCAAATATCTTGTAGCTTGATAGAGATTACATCTTCGAAGCCAACTAGTTGTTGTGCTATAGATAAGTGACTTGTACCAATTTTTTAACACTATGAGAGTTCAAACTTCAGAGACAATTTAGTAAATTTTTATCCAAATAATTAGGAGCTGGCTACTTCCTGCTAGGTCTAAGGTTATCTCTTTCTTGAACTGCAAGTGACTATTCCATTCATAATGACTTCATTTAGTTTCACTTTGTCCTGTCACTCCCTATTCTACCATAAAAATTTGGAGTCTGATATCTCCATATCACACCTTAATTATTTTAATAAATGTACTACATTGACCGTTTTCACAAAATCTACAGCAACATATGGCTAACATCTTGACTTGTATTCCCTCATCATAAATTTGGAGTTCATTTATGGATGAGTTGATTGGGCTCTGAAATCTATTACTCTATAACATGTCTCAACAGTAGCAAATAAATGTCTTTTGATGAATCTGATCTATGTACTACATTAACCGTTTTCACAAAATCCACATCAACATATCTGACTTGTATTCCCTCATCAAAAATCTCTCTTCTTCCTCACATGCCAGCTGTCTGTTATAATTTGAGAAACAAATAATACTAACAGGAAAGAAGGGCAAAAATCACATTAGCACATTCCTGCATCTTTTTATTGAGTGGAGACGCAGAACATCTATCAACATTAAGAGGATGTCTATCAAGGTCTTGAAGTGAATGCTGACTTTCCATGTGTCAGAATTGCAGAAAAAAAAAATGAAATTGAACATCGAAAATTCAACAGGCAAACGAGATAAGAGGATCAATAAACAGTATTGCATCAATAACTAACATTCAATTGGAAACATGGCTTACAAACGGAAGACATCTTAAAGTTAATGGAAATAAGAAAATTATGCATGTGGCATAAATATGCATGCATGTCAAAATACAATGATTATTTCCCTTGAAATATAAGATGAGGATGTTCCCTCAGTCTTGGTAATTTCAATACTTCTGTTTTTGAACAACTGAATGTAGGATGGAGCAATGAAGTTAGATTATATCACAATTTTCATTGACAATATTGAGTCAAGTCAACCAACTCATGTGCCAAATATTAACCAACATAAAAACATGAATGGGCTTGATTGTGTTTCAGAAATTATTAATGTAAACAGAAGAATATATGCAATGAAAAAGAAAAAGAAAGTAAAAGGATGATTTCTCTTCTCTCCTTTACTCCTTTTTTCCTTGAGAGACAACCTTGATGTTAAGGACTTCTAGCATCCTCAAGACAAAAAAGTTGAGAATATCAAAAATCAAAGCATTAAATGCATGGAATCTTCCTCGCTCCATGCATGCACCCTTCAACTCAAACGCACAATATTGAGTAGGAAATGAACAGAGAATGATTACCTCCATCATACCAAAATATGGAACAGATTGACTTATAAAGAAGACTAAAATAAGTATTATGGTCAAAGTTCTAACTCCTTTATATGGAAACATCCTACGCATTTCAGTTTTTAGAAGATAGAAAAGAAACAATTTGGCAATTTTAAAACGGCAAAATTTCCAATGGAACTCACGGTGTTTACAATATTAAAGAAACATTTGGCATTAATACTATTGAAAGCTTTCTTTTAAACTTGCAGTAAAAACATATTTTTTTCCTAAATATGTTGAATCTGATTCATTGATCTAAAGTAAATGAATCCTGTTAAAACCTAAATTTCACAAAAGTCCCCATTCATTTTCCATATATTTCTTACAACTATCAACTATTAGTTGTTCAAAAACTTATCATGGAAGTAAGACTTCAAATCATGTGCAACATAATGTCGCACTTTATCGTAACATTTTAGACTGTGGTGTTGTCTTGATAATTCACCATTTCAGTTTCAATTTCAATTTCTTCACTGTTAATACTGTTGTCTTTCCCCCTTGTTCGAAATATGAATTACTAAAGGAAGGGAATTCCTAAATAATCCATCCATATTATTCCAAGTTACGAGAAGTTCAATCTGTAACTCACCCTAACGTGCATAACTAATAGAAAAACATCACGAGAGCATAATCAGAAAAAAAAACACAGCATGCGTTATAATGCTGCCCCCTAATGCATATCTGAACAACTTAATTTAAATTCTAAACCGGTCGATCAAAATTGCTAAATTTGTAATACACACTTTCTCTTGCTATTTCGAATGGAAGAATGTCATATAGCCATTGTTGCACAAGAATGAAAAGCCAAAGAATTATCTTGGATTAATAATTCATAAAGATTTAGCTGAAATATAGATGCTCACATGATCAATCTGCTTCGTGGCCGGGGTGACCTTATCCTGGACTGCGCTGGTCAAGTCTTTGTAATAGCTCTCGGGAACGGTGGACTTCTTCTTGGCAGCTCCGGATAAGGAAAACCAGACCTTAGGCCTCAAGCTTGGTGGGATACCCTTCCTAATGAGCCTCTTGAGCGTTATACCATTGACCAAAACAGAGAATTTGAGGGTTGTGGAGGACTGAGTTTGCAAATACCAATTTACACCTTTGCTAGCCTCTAATGACCACCATACCCTGCCTTGTTCCCTCACCTTCTCTCTCACCTCATTCAACACATTGACATCATCAACATTGCCCTCCACTGTGAAACCATACAGATCTTGGAATTTCACCGTTATATTCGCCCGTCTTGCACGAATGCTTGGCCTCAATATGGGTATCTGTGCTTGGTATTCAATTGCCAAGTCTATCTTGCCGTGGGTGCCTCCATACATCATATTCTTATTAATAATAATGCAACTTCTTGGGATTCTTAAACCCAACAGATGATGGACAGATTAAGAACAATAGAATCAGATTGTGGAAGAGAGAAAGAGAACCCAAATCGTTGACTTGTGAAATCATAAAACGGTAGAATTTTGAAAGAAAACAAGAAAAAATGGCAAAAAAGAAGGACGACGCAGAAGAAACAGAAAGAAGAGGGAAAAAGAAAAATCCTAAAATTAGAGAGATAAAGAATGATCCTTGGTCCGAATTCGAGAATAAGCAGTCAGTGCGGATGGAATTTGACATTATCCTAGGCTCATTATTATCTATAAAAATTAATTAAGATTAAATAAATTAACATGTTAATTTCAAAGTTAAGAACCAGTTAACATGTTAATTTCAAAGTTAAGAACCAGTCTCGTTATGAAAATACATATTTTGAAGGGATAATTGCATGGGCGGTCTCAAACCTTCGAATTTTTTGTAAACTTTATCCCAACATTCGATTTGTATCAACAACGGTCTCAAACCTTTAAAAAACTAGCAGTTGGGGTCCAAATAGATGACTCTTAGACCGTTAATTGACCCATAAATCTAAACCATTTTTGAAAGGATAAAATGATAACTATACATTTTACATATAAAATAAGGTTAAAAAAAAAAAACACATAAACCCATCATCTTCCCTGTGCCCAACTCCAACCCCCACTCACCTATCCCCACCCCATCAAATCATAACCAGAAAATTGTCCCCTTACATATCCAATCGCCAACGACCCACACCACCACCACAACTTCAACCACCTTAATTAGGTAACCCCATGGAAGGGATTTCAATAGACCCCAGTTATGTTCAGTCATCCAACACGGGTAATGGAAAATTGCAACTTTTCAATTTCAATTTTAACATAACAATGGCAAACGATGAGGCAATTTCACTTGTTCTAAGATTATTTTTTGTTTTCTATTTTTATCTTGACATTTCTATCATTATTTGCTATGAATTCTTGGTGGCTGCCGCTAGCCAAAACTATTGCCATTTTGCTCAAAGTAATATGAGAAATGTGTTTGTTGGAGTGTGAGGAAGAGAAGGGAATAATTAGGGAAGAGATGTTGGTGGGAAAAATGGCAAAATCGGTGAAGGAGGGCGTCCATTTTGCTCAAAGTAATATGAGAAATGTGTTTGTTGGAGTTTGAGGAAGAGGAGGGAATAATTAGGGAAGAGATGTTGGCGGGAAAAATGGCAAAATCGGTGGAGGACGGTGGTGGTGGTGACGACTATAAAGGGTAAGACGGGACCAACTAATTTTGGGTTTAGGAGGAGGTGGGTGTGTGAAGGAGAAATGAATAGTGATTGAGTTTGGATTTTTGGTTTTTTTTTTTTTTNAGGAGGTGGGTGTGTGAAGGAGAAATGAATAGTGATTGAGTTTGGATTTTTTTTTTTTTTTTTTTTTAATTCAAAGTTACCATTTTATTCTTTAAAATTAGGTTAGATTTGATCAAAGTCAAATTGATGGGTCAACTAACGGTCCACTATCAGAAATTATCTATTTGGACCTTAAATGCTAATTTTCCAAAGGTTTGAGATTGTTATTGGTACAGACTGAAAATTAGGGTAAAATTTGTGAAAAAATCCAAAGGTTCAAGATCCCTGCTGCAATTATCCCTATTTTGAAATCAAAGCACATGGATGAAAAATATCTATATGACATGAACTGGATAATTGAAAATAATAAGGAATAGTAAAAGTGTTGAAAAGCAATGAATAGTGAAAGCAAAGAATAAATTGACGAAATTAGGATTTATTCGAGTCCCATTTGGACAATTTGTATGGAAAATAAATTTTGTAATTGTGATTTTTTAAATCATATATGATTAAAAAAATATGATTTTTTTTTGAATTTACTCGTAAATTTATTTTATTGAGAAAATGTGTGATTGAAAATGAATTTAAAAAAAATTAATAATATTGGCATTATCTCATATATATATATATATGAGATAAGTGTTGCACATTTGATAATTGATGTTTTCATTGAGTACGATATCGTTAGTGATCATTTCCTCATAAGATATTTATAGTAATATATCTTCGAAACTTTAGGCCCTTGTTTGATCTACATTATTTTTAAAATTAATCGTTCTCTCTCTTTTTTTTTAATCGTATATTTTTCAATAAATTAATATTACATGTAAATTCAAAATTTTTCTTTTTCAACCACATATCCTCCACCAATCTACTATTTCAAAATGCATTTAAAAAAATAAAAATAAAAATAGGGCTCAAACATGCTCGTTATGTTCGTTCGTTCATACTAACTTTTTGAAACGAAACATAAATCACACTTGTTTGAACATAATTACAACAATTGGTTGTGAAGTGATTGAGGAACAATCATCTACGTAAAATAGAAAAGACTAAACATGACATAATACAACGGCCACGGTGACTTAGATCGAGGTATTCTAATATTTCAAATTTATTCGACAATAATCATTTTCCATACCAGGTCTATTTTATGTAGATTTTTTTAGAATAAAATTTTATGAAAAATGATATTTTTGAAGAATATGTGGTTAAAAAGTAAAAATGAAATTCTCGGCTAATGTGAAAAATTATTTTATTGAAATATTGTATAATAAAAAATAAGTTTAAAAAATGAATTTTAGTTTCTAAAAGTGAAGTTCTGTCATCCGATTTTCAACGTTATTAAGTCGCGTTTGGCTCTAATTTTTTTAAATTTTGTTAGTGATCATTTCCTCATAAGATATTTATAGTAATATATCTTAGAAACTTTAGGCCCTTGTTTCATCTTCATTATTTTTAAAATTCATCTTTCTCTCTCTTTTTTTTTTTAACCGTATATTTTTCAATAAATTAATATTACATGTAAATTCAAAAATTTTTCTTTTTCAACCACATGTCCTCCACCAATCAACTATTTCAAAATGCATTTAAAAAAATAAAAATAAAAATAAGGCTCAAACATGCTCGTTATGTTCGTTCGTTCATACTAACTTTTTGAAACGAAACATAAATCACACTTGTTTGAACATAATTACAACAATTGGTTGTGAAGTGATTGAGGAACAATCATCCACGTAAAATAGAAAAGACTAAACATGAAATAATACAACGGCCACGGTGACTTAGATCGAGATATTCTAATATTTCAAATTTATTCGACAATAATCATTTTCCATACCAGGTCTATTTTATGTAGATTTTTTAGAATAAAAATTTATGAAAAATGATATTTTTGAGGAATATGTGGTTAAAAAGTAAAAATGAAATTCTCGGCTAATGTGAAAAATTATTTTATTGAAATAATGTATAATAAAAAATAAGTTTAAAAAATGAATTTTAGTTTCTAAAAGTGAAGTTCTGTCATCCGATTTTCAACATTATTAAGTCGTCAAACCGAGATTAAAAAAATTTAAAATTTTTTTAAAAAAATATTTTCAGTTACACATTTTATAGGCTCTAAGAAGTTCTATTAATATTTTAATTACAAATTTTATCAATTTTTATTAGAATTTGTAGCCAAATCAACCAGGGGCTAAGACTTGCGTGTCAACGAGATTTAGGGTTTGTTCAGCAAGACTTTTGAGATGTTAAAAGGAATTTACTTTTGATATTCAAGAACTGCTTTTGGACTCGTTTGATTAATTTTATGAAAATGTTTCTGCAAATTAAAAAACACTTATATGAAATTGGTCCAATATAACTTTCTTTAAAAGTACAAAAACAAAATTAAAAGCAAAAATCATATCAAACAAAACATTACACCCGGTTAGTAAATAGTGGACATTAACGACATGTTTTTGAAAATTATGTAGTTGAAAAAAGTTCCGAGTTTATGTGTGTGTAAATATATTATGTGTGGTTGAAATTGAATTTTTTTTTTTTTTTAAATGAAGTTTTTGGAGAAAGAGAAACAGAGGGTTAAGACCGAATCGAGACAAAATAAACTTTAAGGACCAAATGTACATTTTGCTCATATTTAAATACGCAATCCCGATTTCCCATCCCATTCGTTTCTCTCTCTGGACTCACTTTCTTAGCTACTAAACTCCCAAGCTTGCACCTACCCCCAGGCAATCATCCTCCTCCTCTCTCTCTAAACATACGATTAGGGTTTTACTGCATAAAAACCTGATTATTTTTATTGAGATTCGTTATTTTTTTCTTCATTTGTTCATCTCTGAGCTGATTCCCGACTTCTTTTAGCTAATCTTTGTTGTTTTCTTGTTAGGATGTTATCGTGATGCCACTTAATTTGATCAGACATCGCTGACGAAGTTCAGTCTTCTTGTGAGTGAACTTTTATTTGTTATATCGTTGGGAGGTCGATTTAGTAGGCAAGTAATGAATCTCTCTTAATATTTGTGTATTTTCTCTGATTATCTTAATTTGATCTTTGTTCTTTATTTGCTCTACTTCGTGTCTGCGTTTTCTCGGATCCTCTTAATTAGATTTCCGTTCTACTTCGTGAGTCTATGCCTTTTGTAATTATTATGATTTTATTTTTTCATGAACTATTTGAGGTTCTATGAGTATCTGAGTTATTTATTTAAGTTGCCTACTATAAATTTTGTACTTAATTTTCCTAATCTGTGGCTGTTGACGAGGCTTTGGTCATTGAAACTTTCACCATTTAACTCATTTTTGACACTTTTTTCCTGCTTTGAAAAGGATTGTCATTTAATTCCTTTGGATATTTTCCTTACAGGAGTATTTTCCTCCAGTTTGGGTTCTATTTTCTCCCATATATTAGGGTAGATGGAAATGCTCATTTCAGTTTGAAGTATTCTTTCAGGAGATTGTGGAGTGTCCAACATGGCAGATGTCAGTCCTCCTAGGACTGATACTTCCACTGATGCCGACACTGAAGACAAAAACATGAGGGTGATGTCTAATATGCTTCCATGCAATATGTTTAGTTCTAACATTTTGTATACATAAATCAACATATACTTTTCAATTGCTATACAATTGATTGTATAC